CCCGTTTGACCCGTGCTTGTTGAAAATGTCTAGCAGGTTTGCTATCTTTACTCTTGATAATTTTTCTCTTCCAAAGTAAGCACAAATCAATGTCACTGGATGAATTTACTCGACCTGCATTTTTGATACAAATTCTACTGCATATATCTTAATTGTAGTCTTGAAATGACATTGAAAATTATGTTCAATATGATAAAATGTCCGATGAATCAAAGTAGTTGCATTGCACAGGCTTTACTCTCTTTCTGACACGTTTTTTCTTGTCAATTCTTGAAGCTATATCTCCCCGAACTTCAACTTCTGGTTAATGGAGAAAACGACTTATGAGGAAGATGATGACGATGAGCTTTGTGATGAGGTCATAGTGAATGGAGATGCAGACAGTGAGGAGGACTGTGACGATGACGTGGAACTTGATAGCGAGATGAATAAGATGTTTGTAACTCCGAAACACTCTTTCATGCAAGAAACGGAGAGGCTCTTGAAGATGCCTTCAAGAATCAGACCATCCACTAGTCCTCCTGAATCCTTCTTAATCTAATAGAGAGAGGGAATGCAATTTTGCAAATTAGGTTTCTTATTGCAATCTCTTAGCAAGTGTGTGAAGTCTAAAAAAAAGAAGTTGACATTATTATGAAACATGAGTTTTGTGCGAGTCTGTGGTATTACCTGATCGCATGTGGTGTTGTAGCAAAATTTTGAAGAACTATCTATGAAGAATAATTTAGTCAGTTGGTTAAGTAGAACTCTAAACGGATTATACTTTTAATACGGTTATAATTTGGTTAAGTTGAGTTGCTGAATGATTTTTCTCTTTGATCTCTCGGTTTAGTGTTCAATTTTGGTTTACTTTGTCCACAATTGGTAATACATAGCTCTTTATTTTGGTAAATGTACCGCAAATGGTTCAAGGTAAACCGGGAAATGACCCTCCGATTTAAACCGGTCAGTAAACCAGGTGACCCAATCTCTCCTCTTTAACCTCAGCGTCGGCGTCTTGTGTAGCTTCTTCTGCTAGCTTTTGTTAATCAGCAAAAACCCTAGAATTTCTGCTTCGCTTCACTTTCAAGCTCGACACTTTGAGAAAGATGCCTCCGAAAGCCAAAGCTAAAGATGCAGGTCCCGTAGAGAGGCCTATTCTTGGCCGTTTCTCTTCTCACCTCAAGATCGGAATTGTAATTCTTCTCTTCATCTCTCTTATCTTGCTTTTTTCGGAAAAAAAAAGAAAATTAGTATCCAAGTTGATTCATTTCGAATGGTGAATGGAAGATTTGTTCATCGCAATACTTTCATCGATAAAAGTGTGTGTTTTTATTAGTTTTTCCGGAGGAGATCTATTAACTCATACAGAGGAAATGGTCATTAGTGATGCATGATGAAATTGTGTGTCACTGTGCTCTTTTAGATGGTTAATACATGTTTTAGAAACTGCTTCTTTGATACCGTGATTAAGGTTGATTGTAGAATTCATGGTTGATGTGATGATGTAGAGAAGTATTCATCATGGGCTTTGTTTGTGGCATCGCAGGTTGGGTTACCAAATGTTGGAAAATCTACTCTTTTCAACACTCTTACAAAGCTTTCTATTCCAGCTGAGAATTTTCCCTTTTGTACCATTGAGCCTAATGAGGCACGTGTGAATATCCCCGATGAGAGGTTCGATTGGCTTTGCCAAACTTACAAGCCTAAGAGTGAGGTAAGTTTGTAACTTTATTTCATGACTTGCTGTTATAGAGGAGATTACTACTATCTGAATTACTCCATGAATGAGGAGGCTGACTTCTGTCTATTGTGGTGTCTCAGATTCCAGCTTTCTTGGAAATTCATGACATTGCTGGGCTTGTTAGAGGAGCTCATGAAGGACAGGGTCTTGGAAACAACTTCTTGTCTCATATTCGTGCAGTTGATGGAATTTTCCATGTTTTACGTATGGTTCTTCCTTCTCCCCTTCTCCTAGTGCCAGCTTATTTTTAGTGTGATACGTGGTTGAAATGGTGATTTGATGAATAAATTGGACTGTACATGCGACTTGTACTGGATTGAATTCCTAGTAGGCTTTTCAATGAGAGACTACCGTTGTATTTTTTTCTTCTCATTTGCTGCCTATATGACCATTGCGATAATTATTTTATGTTTTCTCCTCGAATGCATCTTCTGTATATCTGTTATTGAACAACGGAGATATTTTTTAGTAGTTGTTTATAATAAGGTATCATGCCAGTTATATTCGGGTTAGTGACTTTTCGATTGAACATATGCAGGTGCTTTCGAAGATGCTGATATTATCCATGTTGATGATGTCGTGGATCCTGTTAGAGATTTGGAGACCATTACTGAAGAGTTGCGGCTAAAGGTGAATCAAATATCTAAACCGATATTGACTGCTATAACTCCGAACTCATGAAATCCTTTCTGTGTATATTAAATACAGTAGTCTGTTGTTTGTATTAGTTGGATCTTGTTATTCATTTCATCCATTGTTGTTTTGGTTTCATACTGAATTCTTTCCTGGAACTTTAGGATATTGAATTCGTTGGAAAGAAGATTGATGATGTCGAGAAGAGCATGAAGAGGAGCAATGACAAGCAGCTAAAAATAGAACTTGAGCTCTTGCAAAAGGTATGCTTATGAAATCGACAAGCATGCAGTCTTGTTCAGTGAATGTAATTGGTCATTTATTTTTAATTGGCCGAAAAAATGATTGTACCTCTCTGGTATAGGTAAAAGCTTGGCTAGAAGATGGAAAGGATGTCCGTTTTGGGGACTGGAAAACAGCTGATATCGAGATTTTGAACACTTTCCAATTGCTTTCTGCAAAGCCCGTTGTTTACTTGGTGAGTAGTCTTGAATGTTCATCTCTTTTTGTAACCATTGTTTCTATCAAGATAAATGCTTTTGCTTCTTTGATATTAATAGTCTGACAGTTTTGTTCCATCAAAAAATTTCGGGTCATTTTACAAAATATAGAGGCATACTGTATATTTTTGTGACACTATTTGCTCCCAAATTTAACCATGATGTGTTCCTTAGCCTTTTCTGATCTCTATGCTTTTCATGTTTGTTTCAACTATATGTTTCATCTCAGTGTAAGAACTATTAAGGCATGTTGGTTGGACTTTTTGTGATCACTGATTACTCTGAAATTTAAATGACAGATTAACATGAATGAGAGAGACTATCAGAGGAAGAAAAACAAGTTCTTGCCAAAGATTCATGCCTGGTACTAATATATATCCCTTCACAAACTATGCTGAATAATAAGTAAAACATTTTGCCCCTCGGTTGCTGCAAAAGTTTCGTCTACGGCTATGTGCTGACGCATTTACTTACCTGATTATACTTCTCCTAAACTTAAACTATCTGTTTCATCTCTACGTAGGGTTCAAGAACACGGTGGTGATACTATGATTCCCTTCAGTGGTGTGTTTGAAAGGAGTCTTGCTGATATGGCCCCAGATGAAGCAGCAAAGTATTGTGAGGAGAACAAACTGCAAAGGTTAGGAATAAAAGAACGGCATAGCGTTCTAGCAAATGAAGTGTTGCTCCTGAAGATGATTTTCTTTATGAATCTGTTAATTTGAATCTTATGGCCATTGCTGCTTTGACAGTGCTCTTCCGAGGATCATCAAAACTGGATTTTCAGCGATTAACCTCATATATTTCTTTACAGCAGGGCCTGATGAGGTATTCACAATCCCACTTTACTAGTAATTTACTTGGCTTCACCACACGCTCTAGTCTCTATTCCTCTACTATTTAGTAGTGTATATGGTCAGTGTAAAGTGTCAAGTAGTGCATTTTTGCTGGAATTTGATGGTTTATAAAATAAATCCATCAATGATATTTTGATTTGCAGGTGAAGTGCTGGCAAATACGACGGCAGTCAAAGGCTCCTCAAGCTGCAGGGGCCATTCATACTGATTTCGAGAGAGGATTTATTTGTGCTGAGGTTTGCCTTTTTCTCATTTCTCTTGAATCTTGGTCAATTCACTAGTTTATTCCTACCCTAAAATTTACTGCGCAAAGCCTTTTGCCCCCAGGTTTTGATGATTTGTTCTGTTAAAGAGTTTATATAATCTTCTTATGTTTTCACCGACATAAATAATGCTTGCGTATTCTCATATTCATCTTGGTGTTGATTTTCCTAGTATCTATGCAGTCCTGTAAATAATGCTTGCATATTCTCATATTCATCAGTTTCACAAAGAAATCAATATTTAACCTGATTTTTCTCTTTTGAAATTCGAGGTGATTTATTCCAATGTTGGTGATGTCACAGGTCATGAAATTTGAGGATCTCAAGGAACTTGGCAATGAACCTGCAGTCAAGGTACTTGTCTATAACTCCTTCTCCTACTCCCATCTCTTAAGGTTTCTGTGGAGTAAGTAGCCTCTAAAAACAGACATGAAAATGTTAAGGAAGCTCTCCATCGTGCAAGATATCCTCATTAAAGATAGCATGGTTAAATTTATATTGTTCATGGCGTTGACACTTGGTCTAATTTGTAATCCCTTCAAATAATGCAGGCCGCAGGAAAATACAGACAGGAGGGGAAGACATATGTTGTTCAGGATGGAGATATCATTTTCTTCAAGTTCAATGTTTCCGGTGGTGGGAAGAAATGAGATCCATCTGTCTACCTATCCGCGGTGTCCTCTCTGGATCTTAAAGCTTTATCCATTTCCGAGAAAGGAACCAAACTGTATTTTCCGTTTTTGAAAGTTGCAGTTTTTGAGTGGCTTTACCAAACACAAGTATTTGTAACTCTTTACTTTATGCAGTTAGCTAAGACATGTCTTTGCCTTGAGACAGAGCATTAAGCCTGCTGTATCTTTTAGAACTCTTTTCAATAAGCTTTTCTCTATTTGGATAGAACTTCAAGTGATTGTGAGTGAGAATTTTTAAAATTGGGAACTAAGTTTCTTCTGATGCAAGTGGAATGAGTTCAAGAAACCCTAAGCAAACAACTTCTGGTGCACGTATTAGCGAAGGCAACAAATGTAAAGAAAGATAAATCGAATACTTCTAAGAAATTATATTTGCACTGTATATTACAAGCTCTGTAAGAGCTTCTGGATAGATCACAATCAATAATTATAACAAAAGAACAAAAGAATTATTTTGGCGCTGGTCAATCCAATTGCTTCCTCTAGGCCAAGTTGTGAAGAGCTGATCCTGTTTGGCTCTTCTCAGTTTCTGAGGAATCTTGATTGGAACAACCTTGAAGAGTATAGCTCTCTGGCGCTTCTTCTACCGCTTGGCTACTCGAAAACGAGTTTTCTCCATTCTGTTTGCGCAGCCAAGCTTCATGAAGCTGCAAAACATACTCCAAGCTCCATAAAACTTCTCCCATCATTGGCCTGTTCTTCCCTTCATCCGCTAAGCACTTCTCTGCTATCTCCCCATACTTCTCCAACGATTCAGGACTGTAGTTTCCCCTCAGATTTGGGTCGATGATAGACTCGAGAGATCTCTGTTTTTGCCAGCTTAAAGCCCATTCCGCAAGGTTGATCTGGTCTTTAGGCAAAGTCGGGTTTATAACAGCTCGAGCACAAACAGCTTCGAACAACACAACACCAAAAGAGTAAACATCTGACTTCTCTGTTAACTGTTGCCTTCTAAAGTATTCAGGATCAAGATACCCGAAACTTCCTTTCACAGCTGTACTGACATGAGTATGGTCCATGGACGGTCCAGCTTTGGACAGCCCAAAATCAGACATCTTTGCTACAAAGTTCTCGTCTAGTAGTATGTTTGTTGTTTTGACATCTCTGTGAATGATTCCTCTCTCAGAGCCTGTGTGAAGGTAATGCAATCCTCGCGCAGAGCCTATACAAGCTTCAAGCCGTTGCTTCCATGATAACGGAGGAAGGTTGCTTCCAAATAGATGACTCCTCAGAGTTCCATTTGCCATGTACTCATAAACCAAGATCATCTCATTGTGCTCATCGCAGAACCCGATCAAAGACACAAGATGCCTATGCCTAAGTCTTGAAAGCATCACGATTTCGGTTTCAAATTCAGCAAGTCCTTGCTGAGAATGTGGGGTGGCTCGTTTTATAGCTATGAGGGTTCCATCTTCAAGCTCTCCTCTGTAGACCTTACCGAACCCTCCAACTCCAATAGCTAAACCATCATCAAAGTTCTTGGTGGCTGCACGAATCTCGGCTAGTGTAAACTTCCTACCCATTGTAGATGCCGCAAGAGTGTTCAGTCTCAGCGAGCCTCCTGTTGCTTTGGCGTTTGCAGTACTGTTATTGACATGCAAGAACAAAGGACGCCACCCGGGAGGATTGTTTTTGGACTCATTTGATTTATTTCGCCTTTTCTTGCATAAACATACTACCAAGATTCCCAAGAACACGAAAAAAATGATAGTTGCTATACCAGCACCAACACTGATCCAAATAATCCGCATCTTCGAGTCATCTACCGAGTGACCAGTGGAATCAAACCTGATGAGATGAGCAAGATTCCCATTTTTGCTGAGCTTGAAAATCTCAAGACCACTCAGAAGAGCATCTCCAGAAGCACCGACAGATGAGTCAGGTCCGAGTTGAATCCAGAGAACGTCGTTCTTAGAGGAGACCGGATCAAAGTAATCTTGATAAATACCTTTGTTCTTCCCGCCCGCATGAGCAAATATATCGAAATTACCAGCAGCCGTCTGGTTGTTTATGTATATCCTGAATATCCTCTGGTTTTGCTTATCAACAAGAAGCTCACAGAAATGAAGCCTGACCAAGTAGTCGAAATTAGGATCCACTTCAAATTTCCAAGAAATGTTGAACCGTTTCTCCAAGACTTCAGTGTTTGACATCATCCTAGCAGTTTCATAAACAAGAAGAGGAGCCACAGGGGAATCATCAGCCATAGCATATGTGATATTTGAGCTGTTCTTGACTTCTACACCGGCGTTCTCAATCACCATGTAGCTTAAATCTGTTTCCCATGTTCTATAAAGCTTAAGATCTTGGCTTGGACCTAGCTTGGGACCACCAACGTTTAGCCTATACATAGTTTCGATCCCGCGTCTGCCCCAAACCAAGCTCCACTTCACTTCCACCAACTTTAGTAACTGATTCCTTGAAAAGCTTATCATCAACAAGAAGTATCTCAATAGCATTGACAAACCCGAAAGACCCTTTCTCTGGCATGAAACTTAAAACCAGTTTTCCTGGTCCCATAGGTAACAGAAACTCTTTAACCAAAGAAGAGGCAGTAGCATTGTGTCCAGTGCTTTCCAAGATGAGATTTTTATGCGCGATTTCTCCCGCGATGTTGATGTCAAGCATCAGTCTCAGACCATCAGCAAAGACGCTGAAAGAAGACTCATTCACATTGTGGTTTTCAATGGGGAAAGGGCTGAAATGGAGCCTAACAAAGTAATTCCCTTGAGTTATACCTTCAAATGTATAGTTCAACACAGCCTCGAAAACACGAGCAGTCTTATATATCTCACCAAAAACCGAACCTCCTTTCGATGTCGAAGCAGTAATGGCATCAAATCCTTGCAAGGTCACACTCTTGTTGGGAGATAAATCCCCAACCCATGTTCTTCCATCTACTTCGGTTGTAGTATTTGAGCCACAATCTATAAGAAAACTCTTGGACTGAGATTCTCCATAGCCAATAACATAAGTAAACAAAATCAACACACATAGAAGAAGTTCCAGAAACTTTTTCCTCAGCTTCGACATAGGCACTCACAGAATCCTAAAATCAACCAGTAAATCGATCACTGCAACTGAATCTCACAAAGAGAGACAGTGTTCTACTACAGAGAAACAGAAATATCCCAAACGTTTTCTAATCTTCTTTGTACATTAGCCTCCACCAGACAATTTCAGAGAAGCAGCAAGAAGAAGAAAGGCTCAAAAACGAGTCTCAAGACAGAAGTTACTTTTTTTCTCTCACAAGCAGAGCTTTTCTTTTCAAGAAGGCAATGCAAAGTTAAGAAAACAAACCAAAAAACCCAACCACCTTTGTGCTCCTTTTAGCTAGTAGATCTGAAACAAGAAGACCCAGAAGAGTCCAGAAGAAGTACAAAGAAGAAAGTAAGATTCTTTCAAAATGGAGAATGAATGAAACGGAGAAAATGAGAAAAAAAAACAAGAAGAAGAAAGATCTGGGTTTAAACAAAAGAGGCAAATTTTGTTAGAGGGAGAAAGAAAACAGAAAAGCTGATAGCGTTATCTGGACAAAGAAATTTATGAACATGGCTTGTTTTGTTGGCACAGATTGGAAAAGTAAGAGAAAGAATAAAACCTTTCCTTGATTTTTTTTTTTTTTTTTTTTTTTTATATATATTTATTATAACAACAAGTAATTTCTTTTTTAAATCATCAAAATTAAATCTGTGTTTGCTGATTGTTTGTTTGTTCTCTTCACCAAATATAAGTCAAGTACGAAGAACAACCGCAGCGCCATTCCTCTCTTTTCTTGTCACTTGAAATTGATTACACTCATGTTGTTACAGGAAAAGTGAAGCGTTGAATAAAGAGTGACGTGGAGGTTTGAGTGAAGATGATTGGTGGATTAAGGAGAAATGACATGGAAAGAAATGATTGGTTGATCTCAAATTAGAAGTGTTGACCGTTGACTTCGCTGGGAACAAAACAACGATGGAAGATTCAGAAGAGGATATCGAATTCATTTTTCTCAATTTCTCTATAAGTCCTTTTCCTCTGTAATTCTCTGGAGACTCACCATTGTTGATCGAGATCTTTTCTCTTGTAAGATCTTTATCTCTTTGGAATTTGGCTCGTGTTTGTAACGAACGTTAGTCCAAGTATATTGAATGGAGTTTGTGTGGATCGTTTGAGTTTTATCTTTAACAAAGGTATCAAAGCTATTCGAATCCTTGGCATCCATGGCAGAAACGGTTCCAGAAGCTATGGTTCATGAAGTCGACGAAATCTTAGGATCGGGAATAGACAAATTGAAAGAAACAATCGCGAACGACGATGAGAAGATCGACAAACGAATTGGTGCTTTGCTCTTGTTGTTGCGATCAAGGAGCAATGTAGAGGAGAATATGCAAGTTGGCGCTCATCCAGCCTCGCCGCAACTTTCAGAGTCACCAGATCTCAATCGTCCTGAGCCTAAACCAAACTATGTGGTCAACGTAACTCCAGATGCACCTAACGCTTCATCACCGTTTTCTAATCGCAGATACAAGCTTCGGCGGAGAGTCTCGTGTGAAGAGATTGACGAGAGAAGGTTGAAGGGGTTATGTGCGTTTTGCGAAGAGCCAGAAACTCCCTATCATTACCTACAACACAAGAACTCAGGTATTCTCATGATTGATAGTGAAGATCATCTCTCTAATGCTATGGAATTAGAAGATATTGAGGTTGAGATATCTAGTGATATGTGGCAGTCCCATGCAATTGGCTGTAAGTTAGAGACTGGTGAAACAGCTTATGATGAAGATCGATTCCCTAGTGATTCAGACTTGGTAATGAATGCGGTTGAGAAGGTGAAGAATGATTTGGTAGAAATTGAGGCTGCTAAGTCTTGTGATGATGAACAATTTTTGGATAATGGGAAAGTGTTTGGATTCAACATGGACGATAGTGAAACAGATTCTTGGATTGAACAGAATCAATTGAGTCAAGAACAAGACGATATTCATCCCACAGATTCAGTTATGGAACCTAGTCTGGAATCTAGTGATCTGTTGTTGTCGAAAGGAAATTATTGTTTAGCCAGTGATGCAGAATTGATCCAGCAGCTAGAACTGAAAGATTGTGTAGATGATTTGCCTCACGTTGTTCTGCAAACGAAACTGGAGTTGATTCACACCAAGATGATGTTGCCATTCTTTCTCATAAACATCACTGGAGTTGCAGGAACTGCTGAGAAGTTTAGGGAATTGCCAACAATCACAAATAAAAGTTATGCAATTCAATGGTTAGATAAAATGTCTCTGCAGCAAGACAGCCAAAACATGAAGAAAAAGAAGGCGTCAAAATCTTGGATGTTTAAATACAAAAATCAGAAACAATGCAAAGGCAGGGCTGTATGGGAAGAGTGGTTTCATCTTACAAGTAGGGTGACAATACAAAGAGATCCCGGCCTTTATTTTCTACTAGTTGCCGCATCAACTTGGTGTACTCGGACACACTTTGGATATGCAAGTTACCATGTGTGGCATCGTTGGAAGGCTCGATATTTGCAGAGTTTTAACAATCGAATATGGGATCCTGGAGGTTCAATTTTCAGAAATTTCTCTTTTAAGCTGAAGTTGTGGTTCTGATTAAGGGGTCAAACATGGATGAAGATGAGGCTACTTGGGAGTTTATGTATGATCGGTTGCAGCAAAATCCTTCTATAGAAGAACATTTCAGAGGTTGACCATGACGATGCACGCATATATGCAATTGTTTGGTAGCAACAGTTGTGTTTCAAGCTTAGCAATTCAAATCAGCATGGGAGTACCTATTCGATCTGCCTGTAGAGGAAGCTACTTGGGAGTACCTATTTGATCTGCTCAAGAAGTTTCCAACATTTGAACCTTGAGGACAAGGTTCTCTCAACAGGGGAGATTTGTTACAGGAAAAGAGAAGCGTTGAATAAAGGGTGACGTGGAGGTTTGAGTGAAGATGATTGGTGGATTAAGGAGAAATGACGTGGAGGTTTGAGTGAAGATGATTGGTGGATTAAGGAGAAATGACATGGAAAGAAATGATTGGTTGATCTCAAATTAGAAGTGTTGACCGTTGACTTCGCTGGGAACAAAACAACGATGGAAGATTCAGAAGAGGATATCGAATTCATTTTTCTCAATTTCTCTATAAGTCCTTTTCCTCTGTAATTCTCTGGAGACTCACCATTGTTGATCGAGATCTTTTCTCTTGTAAGATCTTTATCTCTTTGGAATTTGGCTCGCATTTATAGCGAACGTTAGTCCAAGTATATTGAATGGAATTTGTGTGGATAGTTTGAGTTTTATCTTTAACACATGTGATGGCAACAAAAACAAAAGAGCACTCATGTAGTGTAATGATTATTAATAATTATAATTATGCCTTTTTAATTGCTAAATTAAAAACTACCGGTTTATTTTTATTTAAATTAATACTAACATTTGGCAAAGTTAGTAAAGAAAAAAAAAAGGATGAAAGAAGAGAAAGAGACAAAAGATAAGAGCGGTGGCAATTATAGGGAAGTGGGTCACATGCATCTGTCCGGTTGATCATCAGCATTCATTAATACCCCTCTACTCCAAATTCCTATTTTACCCTTTCGTCAACCTACGCTTGCGTCTAGACATGTTAAGGTCCTTTTTGTCTTTTCGTTATCGTCTGGTCCGTACCTTCCCCTAGAACTAGAAGTACACTAGTCGTAGTAGTAAGGAAAAAAACATTTGTTCACATTTCATATTCATACAATCAAATCACCAATCGTTTTATTTTATTTTATTACATTTCATATGCTTGTCCCTCATTTATTTCCCATTATTTTTTCTAACACACAAAATTTTTAACTGCTCATATAGCAATGTAGGAATTATCTTTATCATCTAACGTCTAATATATAATTAAATTAATTGGTTTGCAAACCATATAAACTCAGATGATATTGCATGAACATTTGTTGTGTTTATTATTGAGATCACATTTAGTTTACAAATAAATTTTTGTTCCTAATATGAAGTTATAAATTACTCTCAAAGGTCTAAAATTTGTAATAGGGTTGGATTAAAGAGAGATGAAAAATAAATGAACAAAAACCAGAGTCCTTGAGAGAGATTGGATTTTCATATCTTTTTGGTTCTCGAACACAGTACAGAATGGGTTTGGAATAAAGCCCATTTATGATTGTAGGCCATTTTGAGATTGTGGTTGTAAAGTTTAATATTACATGACTATTTGATATACGCTATGATTTTAATTTGTCATGTCAGTTTAGGCATAGAAGTTGATGTGTGAACAAAGTGTCTACAATGCAGCTCGGCTTTATCTGACTCAGAATGTTTTGGGTTCGGAAGAAGAAGCAGAGAAGTTCTAAAACCAAAATCACTCCAACAAGTTTTGAAGTTAGAAAAGATGTTTGTTTTTATTTTTTGGGTAAACATTCTTCTTTGCATGCAATGCATTCCATAATGTATCGCAATTGGTTCTTATGTTTGGTTTGGAGATCTTCATCGTTTTCATAAAGATCAATCCATACGAAATTCAGGACACATTTAAACCAAGAGGGATGTTGTTTTAATTCAAACCTTACAAAAGATAATACAATGACAAAGGAACAAAGTCATGTAAGAGAATACAAGTCAGATTGACAAACAAAAGAAACAAAAAAATATATATATCAAAGTCATGATATATCATCATATGAGGACATCAATGGGAGGTCTTGATGTAGAAGCAGCAGCGACTTCATCTTCTTCAGATGATCCATACAACAAAGTTTTCACTTCTTCTATAATAAGCGTAGTGAGCAACAATCCAGAGATCAAAGCCGCAGTCATCAACATGTAAAACACAGCATCCCAGCTAATCGCAGCGATATAACCTGTAAGAACAGGTCCAATAGCTGCACCAACTGATCCTGTTCCATCTATAATAGCAGTCACTGTAGCCAAAGCCCTTGCATTGCCTTTAAGCGACTTGTGAGTACCGAGATCAGCTGCAACCGCAGTTGTGATGAGAGCGTAAGGTCCATTAACAAACAATCCAGCTATGAACATGAGGATGATATTGATTGTCATTGAGACATGACCGTAGATTCTGTAGAGGAACAGAGCTGGGATTGTTAAGTAGATGAATCCTCCGGCTGTAATTGCTCTCCCGTCGAGCTGATCAGAGAAATATCCGGCTAAGATTCCTCCAACAACGCCTCCAACATCGAAGAGTGTCGATAAGTTTCCCGATGTCTCTTGTGACAAATGCTCTCCTCCTATCTCAGTCTGGCTTACATAGAAAGGAAGCCAATAGAGGAAAGTGTAAGAGACCAATTTGGTGAAGAAGAGACAAAAGGCGAAAGGAGCAACACCGGGGATTTTCCATGCGGCTAAGAACCCGACGGCTCTTCTATCGAATCCAGTACTCGTCCTAGAGCTTAAGAAACTCTCTGTAATGGTGTCACCGAGTCTCATTGTGGAATCAACTTCAGTTCCATCTCTCTCAGATTCAACAGCAACTGGATTCACAGGCAAGAATAGGTAAATCACAATGCCAAGAAACGTAATGAGCAAAGCGGGACCAACAAAAGACCATCCCCAACCGAATTTTAAAAGGCCGGTCGCTATTAAAGTCCCAATGATATTCCCTATTGATGTATGAGCACTCCAAATACCCATAATTACTCCTCTCCTCTTCTTATCAAACCAGTTCCCCAAAACCGCCACCACGCAAGGCCATCCAATAGACTGAAACCAACCTGCCAATGTCTGAATCGCAAGGAAATAGTAGAAAGCATGGATATTTGCCCAGAAAGCGACTCCAAATAGAGCGGTACACACTCCTGTCCCGATCATACCTATAGTTAGAAACGTCCTGAGGTCCAGACGATCACCCAAATGACCAGCCACAAACATTCCAACCGCATAAACAGAGAGGAAAGCCAAATCGATTTGTCCAAGCAAAGCTGTTCCATCAGGACCATCGAAAGGAGCCCATCCACCTTTACCTGCCCCCTTGAAATGTCCGGTTGGTTGTTCAGAGAGCGTTCCTTTGACAATACTGTTCGGCTTTCGGGTTGCGTGGAAGGCAATATAAGCGATGAAGGTCAAGACAAAGACCATTGCTTGATATTGCTTGAAAGAGAGTTTGCCTGAACGCTTGAAACGTTCTAGGAAATGAATACCTGGTGGTTTTACTTCTTCATAGAGGAATTCAGATGAAGTCCACGACGCCATGTCTTTAGCTTCTTCTCACGTGACCAAAATACCTGAATAATGATCAAGACAACATAAAATCAAAAGACAAAACCAACTAGAATCACTCTGGACAATTCAAGAAAATTGTCTCTTCCTCATCTCTTACAAACAGCAAAAACAAAATTGTTTTTAAAATTATAGATTCAACACAGAATTTGAATGACCTTTGAAATTTGAAGAGAGGAGGAAAAGATCTCTACTTCTCCCCCTTCCCTCTGTTTTTTTCTGCAACTTAATGCTTGGAAAAACTTTGGAAGGAAAAAGGCACTACTTAATAGTTAAAGAACGTGAGACTAACTAACTTAAATTACTTAATCTCTAGCTCCTTGCTGTACTTTTAAATTGTTTTGACTTTTTTCTCATATGCTTCAAGTTACTATCCTCCCACTTTTTCTAGTTTAAACTTCACAACATGTACAGAACATACAAATCAAGAATTCAGATTCATCTGAGGACAAAAAAAAAAACTAGAGACAACTAATATCCGTTAGTACAAGGGGAATATACCTAAAAGCTTATATGTTTACTCGAATAAAGGAGGCAAATGAACCACAGATATATAGAAGAGATGCTCTTAATTATATAATCTTTGAATCTATCCTGCAACTTTTTTTATCTTATAATTTAGTTTTCTTGTGAGTAAAGATTACCAAACTCAGTCTTTATAATGATTCAAACATGGAAATATTAATGTATTTGACTTTTCTGATATTAGCATATATCTCATGCTGTGTATCTATCTAATCACGTCACGTGAGCTGCCTTTTGCTGTTACGGGATTGCTATGTTGACCATACCAAAGATTATGCAAGCAACCGTATATATTATATCATTAGACTAACACACCTCACAAGAAACCAGAAAAACTTTTTTTTTTTTTTTTTTTTCAGGTAACACAATTTAAATTCATCAAAAACACTATCATGAATTCAAAGACACACAAAATCATCTTCAAGAATAAATCACACTACGACAGTGATTATCATGATGCTTTAAAGATAAAACATTTACTAATATAGACTCAAATGAAATTATCACACATAATGGTTTCAGTTCTATACATATCTCACTAGGCAGTATGTTTAACAGTTGCTTTACATAATTTAATCGTTGAGAACTAACGAATCGAGAGAACATATATATAAACTATACCAAAAAAGAAATAAACAAAGCAATGCAATAAAAACTAAGTGACTTCAGAATGGCAAGTGGTCTTTAGAGATGCACCAATAGAGAAGAGTACCTCGTTGAGTAGTGAGGATATAAGATACGCAATGACATGACGTACGATGCCACAAGTGCACCAAGCAGTATACCCTGAAAAAATGTAACAATTCTTGTTTAAAACAAGAGAATCTCAGCCAAAACTATCTCCTTCGCGGTGCGGATTACACATCAAACACTAATTATCACATATAAAAGTGGACAGGTTGTTGCAAGAAATTGACAAATGAGTTTAAAACACATACATAGGGATTATGGGAGAGTATACGACACAAAATGGCTACCAAAACCTAGTAAAATCTTCTTTTTCTCAAGATTTTTTGAGACGAGCATGTTCTATGTTAGAAGAGTGGAGAGATGTGAAAAACCAAAGCGAAAGTCAAAATAATGAGGACCAGTAACATTGGAAAGAATCATGAGGTGAGGGGTCACCTACTGACCTACTCATATCTTTCAAGAGGGTTCCATTTTCATGTAAAAAAAAATAGATCAATGTGATCACAAAATCCACAAGTAACAAGGCAAAAGTTGCAATATTCTTCTACATACAAGATGGCAATGTCTTCTTAACTATATAACCTACAAGTAAAACCTAAAGGATTTGCACTCTCTCCAAGGGTAGTCAATTCAACAACATAAATCAATCTAAGGAGAATAAACATAAAAAAAGAAAAAAAAAAAAAAAGAGTACTTCCAAAAAACCCACTAAGCACCACAGATATACATGAAAAACAACATAAAATTTCCTCACTGAACTTGGTAATGAGAAGGAGTCCACAAATGTACATTTACCTGAAAAACTTGAACATTCTGGTACTTTAGTTCCTTTGGTGTTTGGTTTCCCTTCTTGTTGGAAAACATAATGAAGGATTTGATTTCTCCACTCTAACTCTTGATCACGTTTTTTGTTGAGTAGTGAATAATGATCCATGGATCATCAAGTCTTCTCTTGATGAATTTGAAAAGGAAGAGATTTGGGTTTAGGAAGGAAATAGCAGCACAAGTGTTCGACGATATTCCTCACTGATCTATTTCTTTCAGTCGGACCGGTTTAGTACAAACCGGTCAAGAATCGAGTTGTGAATCCAACCAAATAAAACCGAAACGGAAATACACGAGTTGACTCTTTTGACTCACGAGTCACACACCATGACGAGATCGATGAAGCTCAAGAAACGATCGCGCTTGAAGAAAGGTAAAATAGACGCTGCCCAAAATCTCTATGAATTTCTCCAATTTTTGAACTTTCTAAAACCTTTTCTGATGAAAATTCCTCTGCAACTTTTCTACAGGAATAAAATCAACGATAAAGAAAGAAAATGGTTCGAGTCATAAGATCACTAAATACTGGATTCAACGATACCATCTCTTCTCAAGATATGACCAAGGTATCGAATTGGATGAAGAAGGATGGTACTCTGTGACTCCTGAAGTAATCGCAATCAAACAAGCTCAGAGATGTCGTGGTAAAGTGGTCATTGATTGTTTCTCAGGCGTTGGTGGTAACACTATTCAATTTGCTAAAGTGTAAACCTTTTCTTTTTCTCTCTCTCTCTCTCAAAATCAACAAGTGTGAGTGATTTTAATGGGTGTGAGATGTTTTCTAAAGCAGTCTTTTTTTTTATATATATATATAAAGATGTTCTTCTGTTGTTGCTATTGACATTGATCCGGTGAAAGTTGAATTGGCGATGAACAATGCAATGGTTTATGGAGTTGCTAATCGTGTTGATTTTGTCATTGGTGATTTCATCCAGTTAGCTCCATCTCTTAAAGTAAATCTTCTTCTTCTCTCTATCAGTTTTATATATATATCTGCAAGTGTAAACATTTCTTTTGACCCTTTTGTTGTTGTTGCGGTGATGTACTAGGGAGATGTAGTGTTTCTTTCACCACCATGGGGAGGACCGATGTATAGAGATGTTGAGAGTTACAAGTTGGACATGCTTCAACCAAGAGACGGGTAACATGAGAGTTACAAGTTGGATATGCTTTCACCACCACTTTACCTATTGATGTTGATTTTGTGTTCAATATACTTATGGAAATACTCACCACTCACCAGTTTAGATCTTGTAATGAGGTTTTGTTTTTGTGTAGGTACTCATTGTTTCAGATTGCTCAGTCCATTACGCCTAACATCATTATGTTTCTACCGCGAAATGTTGATTTAGCGCAAGTGGAAGAACTAGCTTGGCTCTCATCGCCTCCGCTAACTCTTGAGGTAAGACGAACTGTCAAGAAGAATATTAGGAGAGCTAATTTATTGGAAACTTTACTTGACAATTTATTTATATGCTGTGATTTCAGATAGAAGAAAACTTTGTTGGAGGAAGAATGAAAGCTGTAACAGCTTATTTTAGTTGCAATGCAGTTTAGTTGAGAAATAGGAACCCTTGCATCAAGGGAACTGTCTTTTAGCATCAAGCAATAGAGGAACTGAGAATTGACTCTTATCATTCACTATCTGTTCTTACAATTTTTAATTTCTTGAAAAGATTTTTTATTCTACTTCCAACAAAGACACAAAACTGTCATTCGAATTTTGAATTGTCTTCTACCTTAATTTTAGTTTACTTGTGACTAAAAAATAGAAACTTAGAAAACGATTAACCAGATAATGAATGACAAGATGAGGAGGAGTCGGATGTTGAGTCCTCTATAGTAGAGGAGGAACTGTGGGCTCTGCAAGAGGAGGAGCAAAGGGTAGGTTCCTTTTGAGAATTGTAAGGGTGCATAGAGTCATCAACACTTCTCAAACTCAAGCACTTCTCCTAGAGGATTTGATATCTCACTTATGAACTTCTAGCCTCAAGGGTCCTTCCAAAACTGGTTCTGCAGCGCTATCAAAATGCTAGGTATGACATTGATTCCATTGTACATGCTATGTCGTTAATCTCTTGCATTTTCCCGATGTGAAAGGGTTTCCCATCGCTTAACTTGCTTATTTGGTCATGATGTTTTTTGTGGCTACGCCTTGTGGTGATCTTGGCATAATCACACCTAGTGGAGTTTAAATCTTGCCTTGTTTATATTTATTTGCATAGAAAAGCCTAAAAAGCAAAAGGTAGCATAATTTTTCTTTTCACAGTTTTACTTGCACATATTGCATTTGCATTTTTGCATTCCAGGAGTGAGTGGTATGAGTTGCATTTGCACTTTGCATGTTTAAGGAGGAGATGATCTACTCTAAGAGAACAATGTTCACTTTAGGTGAAATAAATTCTAAAAAGATTAGCTGTGCGAATGCTACCCCGAGTGATAGGAAAAGAAAAGTCTTTAAGCCATGTGTAAGTCACTTGGCTCAAGGACTTGCAATGCCACAGAACTAGGATGTTTCTAGGGATATGCTTTCTTAGCGGTTGTAGTGTTTTGTCATTCATGTCTCAGCGTAAGAAGTAGGAAATTTGATTTGGTTAGGAACTTAGGAGTTGTCCTAGCACATGCAACATTTAATCTACATAATGGGCTCTTGATCTAATCGATCACCAGCATTCAGAACCACTCAGGCACTCCTGTTATGATTTGCAGGTTCACAGAGCCGGCTAGATCTTCAACAGCAGTAGTCATGAAACAAGCTTACCCATTACTGGAGGTTTTCCCTCTTGCCAAGATCCAACTCTTCTCTTCCTTTGACAAAACGATTAGAATACTGTATATAAATTTCATCTGAATACTAATTTTCGTGAATATTTTTTACAAATCATTTAACCGAATTCTATAGTTTGTAGATAAATGTATCCAAAAATCTACTCCTCTTAAAAATTTACCTATAAAAAGAAAAATCGTGTATTAAAGATTTTTGCTATAATTGTTAATCCTTTGTCGTTGATAAACCCTTTAAAATATATTTCCTAAAAAAGTCAACAAGGCAGAGAGATATATCTTTAGACGAAATTGAAATTTTGAGGTAATCACAATTCTCGACCTTGATCTCCGATCGAAAGGGCACTAATTTCTCACTGGCGTGTCTCAACTCTCGACGACCCATTTCCCCATTTTCCTTGATCTTATCTGGGTTGGTGTTTATTGGTGAATGAGGAATCCACATAGCAACGGAAACCTTCGGAAGCTTGAAGCTGATGGAGGAGGAGAAGCCACGGAAGAGAACGGCTTCGTAGATGGCGTTATCTTAGGCCTTGACGGTGGCGCCACCTCCACGGTATGCGTTTGCGTTCCATCTTTCCCGTTTGGAGATCGTTTCCCGGAGCCTCTTCCGATCCTCGGTCGTGCCGTCGCCGGTTGCACCAATCGCAACAGCGTTGGAGGTTCCCTTTCATCTTCTCTCCTCAATTTTGAATTTTTTGTTAGCTTGTTGCGTTGGAGGACTTTTCTGAAGTTCGTTGAATTGCGATAACTTTAGCTCTGGGCTATAGATATCTTTGAATGAATGTTTGGCTTTGATAATGATTGATATAAGTGTGTGTGTGTGTGATCTAATTTAACCAAGTTCTGCTGCAATGTGGTATTTGCCTAAGATGATCTTGGTCCTTGTTTGATTCTGGAATTGAAAATGGATTTGTTCTTAGCTGAATATAAGTATTGTGTGTATTTTTGGTTCTAGTTGTGTGGAATTAATCTATTTTGTGTGTGCGGTATTGGTTTTGCTTGCAGCAAATCTGTGGCACCACTTGGATATTTCTACCCTATTAAAGTCACCTTTCAATGTGCATCGTGTATGCAGAAACTGCAGCAAGGGATTCACTAGAGCAAGTGATTTCTGAGGCACTTGTACAATCGGGTTCTGATAAATCAGATGTTCGCGGTGTATGCTTAGGTGTTTCAGGTGTTAATCATCCCTCAGACCAGGAAAAGATAGAAAATTGGATAAGGTGGTAGTAGTCATGTCAAGTGTTATTCACACTACAGGAGTTTCAGGTGTAAATCATCTCGATTTTACCCTCTTCTCGTAATGATTTGCAGGGACATCTTCCCTAGTCACGTCAAGGTATATGTTCAGAATGATGCTATAGTGGCTTTAGCTAGTGGAACCATGGGAAAGCTCCATGGCTGTGTTCTAATCGCTGGTACAGGATGTATAGCCTATGGCTTTGATGGAGATGGCAAGGAGGCTAGGGCTTCTGGTGGTGGACCAATCTTAGGTGATTGGGGAAGGTATTTTTCTTCCCATGTTGTGATTTATGTCAATTTCAATTCTACCATTAACTAAAAAAAAATCACATCACAATGTCTCTGCTTTCACATCCTCATATCCAGTGAGGTTTGTATATTTCCAGTTCCATCTTGCCAGATGACTATTAGTTTTAATTTTACCTCGTATAAGGCTTCCTAGATGCATGAGTCAAAATTATGATTGCAGCTATAGACTTTGTCATCATATATTTGTTGGAAATACGTTTAAAATGTATGGAGATTCCTTAACCTGTGAATGATGATGTGATTATTTACAGTGGCTATGGAATTGCTGCACAGGCCTTAACGGCGGTGATTAGAGCTCATGATGGTCGTGGCGCACAAACGATACTTACAAGTACCATCTTAAAAGCACTTGGACTTTCCTCTCCAGACGAACTCATCGGGTACCTTCTTTTTCAAACTAATGACTGATCTCAAAACATATGCCTTTCTAAAATTTCTTGGTATCCATCACTGCATTCAAAACGCATCAGACATGAAAAGAGGCACTCCCTTTCTTTTTACTGTCTCTTAGGACGAAAACCCCAACACCACTTAAAAATGCTAGTCTAATGTTTCTGGATGTAGGTGGACTTACGCTGATCCATCTTGGGCACGTATCGCTGCTCTTGTTCCTCAAGTAGTATCTTGTGCAGAAGCTGGTGATGAAATTTCAGATAAGATCTTGGTTGATGCAGCTGAGGATTTAGCTCTAAGTGTGAAGGCTGTTGTACAGAGACTTGGTTTATGTGGCAAAGGTGATTTTACATATCCAACTTACTCTGTTTTTTATTCTTTTTCTCGACACCCGGTTCCTTATAGTGTCAGATATTTCTTGTTTCAGATGGGACAGCTTCTTTCCCGGTTGTAATGGTGGGCGGAGTCCTAAACGCTAATCAGAAATGGGACATTGGAAAAGAAGTCTCAAAGCGCATTAACAGATACTTTCCCGGGGCTCAAACAATCATACCAAAGGTTCAGCAATCTAACTTTCATTTATTATCTCTCTCTCCCCCTCAACAACTGAATAAGTGTATACTGCTATATGTATCTTCAGGTAGAGCCAGCTGTTGGAGCAGCATTGTTGGCCATGAACTTCTTATCAAGTTAACGATTAATCGGCCACGTAAAGCTTTATTATTGAAATCAATGTTTCTTGAATCTTCAGAAATGCATAGTGATATAATTTTTTTCTCTTACTGTGGTTGTGGTACATATGTACAATAGTGCATAAGAATCTCGTTGTCAAATTCCAATTCTTGTTATTGATCATCTCTTTGGTTACTCAACAAGAAGAGAAAACATTGACAGAGGATGCGGATTTACAACAGAAATGTAATGAAACTTGAGTGAATTAAAATTGTTTGATCATATGAGACTTGGTCAGAAGACTGATAGTCTCTTCGATTCTCCTCTTAATTCTCTCCGGACAAGCTTCAGAGCTCCAAAATAGCATAGACAAACTCTTGAAAGTTAAATTTTGAAGCTTCTAGTTTCAACATTGTTTTTACAGTTTATATACAAACTTCCTCGATATTTCTTTTGAAATATTATGATATAATAAGCAGGCAAAGCTGCTGAAGAAAAGGGTAAAAATATTGATGAGAAAAAAGAATGATGGAGGCAACGAGAACAATGTATTTGATGTTTTGTTAGTAATTATGGCGAGGATAATTTGGATGCTAGCATGTCGAATCTGGTACTTTTGGTGTTGTTGGTGCATTCAAATGATACTTGAAATTTGTCCCAAGCTTCATTTGCTCACTTACATCGTTGGTTTGGTTCATATGCAAAGGCCCAAACATAGCCGACAGAGCCCTCGAGTTGAATTTGACTTATGACTTCTCTTTAGCAGTTGAATACTTCCTTGGTTTCGAAACACATTCTTCCTTCTCATTTGTAGCCATTGGTGATGTCCATTTGTCTTCAACAGCACCACATGCATCAACATCAATACTCTCAATCAGTTGCGTTATCTGAACCTTATAATACCCATAATTATGGGGATCGAGTTTCAGCGGTTTCGTCACAAATTGGTTCCAATTTTCCATACTTGTCACAAGATCTCACTTGTTGTTGCAGGACAAAACAATTCGTACAAAAGATTTTGTTCTAGATTTTATTATAAGATAATCTTTTACAATGATCACACTTATTCGGAAGTTATTACTCGCACCTAAAATCTTTCCTTAGATTAAAATAAACATTTAGATCGCTATTCAACATTAACATTTTTATTTAAAAAGGTACTTAACAGAGTAAGTATATATCAAGAACAATGAAAATCAACAACCCTTTGAAATAGAAACATTATTACTTAAAATAGAATGGGCACATTTGTTTGACTATAACTGTGTAAATCACATTTATAGTCTTCAATTAGTTTGTAATAATGTGCAACAATACTTTGAAATTCTCAAAGGAGCTCCCTTTCCTAGAGATATCTTCTTGGAGTTTTTCTTTAAGCTTCTTGGCATTAGCCTTCATCGTCTTACCATCATCATGAACCAAAACTTGATGCAAACACTTCTCAAATCCTTCTTTCGTGAAGACTCCATTATCCATCATCATTCCAACCTTCCACACAACCTCCACTGCTTTTCCGTTGAGTCTATTATCAGCCAAAATAGGTCTGCCGATCATCGGTACACCTGCCGACACACTCTCCAACACCGAGTTCCATCCACAATGTGTCACATTCACACCCGTTGCCTCGTGTTTAAGCAGTTCCACTTGGGGAGCCCATGGAACCACTATCCCTTGCTCTCTTGTCCGATCCAAAAACCCTTTTGGTAGATGAACCATGTTCTTCTCCTTAAGCGACCAAACAAACGGCACTTTGCTAGATTCCAACCCTTGTGCTATCGCCACAAGCTCTGCAGGAGGCGGTTCCATGACGGTGCCGAAGCTAATGTACGCTACAGAAGCAGGTGATCTCTTCCCCATCCAAGCTAAGCAGCCATGAGGATCACGCACTAGTGTCGATGTAGAAGAAAATAACGTGAGAGGGGCGATGTTCAAGAAACGTTTAAGTTTGGATCTTAGGTTATGGGTCAATGTAGGTTCTAAATCTTCAAAGGAACTGATGAAAACCGCAGAGGCACGAGGTAAAGCAAGACTCATTTGGTATAGAGCCTTTGGGAAAACAGAGTCCAAATCTTCAAAAACAACTTCCTCTGGTATATCTTTAACTCTGTAATTCTCCATTCCTGGTATAAACCCTAATGTCTCTTCCATACGCACATCTACTAGGAGAGAACCAAAATTAATAACTTATAAATACATATAAAAATATTCAAGTGTGTAGTAGCGGCATTGTTGAATCATTCAAAAGCATATAAATAGCTGAATTTGTGGAATAATAATCACTAAAACGCTAGTTATATATATATTTTACCTTTGACGCCGATGGTTTCTCTGATGAGATCAGTGTAGAGATGAGCACAGAGGGAGTTTGCTCCGCCGGCCCAGAACGCAACCCAAGTGGCCTTCATCTCAGCAGCCATATCCGCTGCGAACCAGAAGAAGGCATCTGTTAGCATGGATGTCACTTTCTTACCGACTTCCGTCTCTGCCGCCGCCATTTCTCTCCGGAAATTCCGTGGAGCCGCTTCGAGAAACAGCTCGACCATCTCCAGTGGACTCCCGGTTGGCATGGTTCCCTCGGGAACACCGTCAGCGACGTCGTGGACCCTGATGTTTTCTGGATGATCTATGTCGGAGAACAAAGAAGCGTTTGATCGTGCGGTGTTGAAGAAAGAAAAGATGGTGGAGGGAGCAGCGGCGGCGAGACGGCGAGTAACGGCTAAGAGAGGACCGGCATGAGCGCCAACGGGGAAGAACGCGAGAACTGCCACGTGGGAGTCTCTGATTGGCTCGGATAATTTGATCATGATTCTAGTGAAGGGAGTGATAATATGAAGGAGAAAACTCAAAGAGAGTCATTAAATAAAGAATACGGAATGGAGCAAGTGGGTAAAGAGCTTTTTTTTTTTTCTCAGTGGGTAAAGAGCTATGGCCAGTGAAGTTAATAGCTCGTGACAGTGGTTGGTACCTCTTCTAGAACGCTTCCCAAATCTAGAGAGATTAATTAAGCTTGAAAACAAATCTAATTAATTAAGCTTGATGAAAACAAATCTAATTTATTTATAAGCGCATTTATACTTTTACTTTATATACTTTTTTTTTTTTTTATCGTTTTATTACATCATCACTAAAGATATTTAATTTAATCCTATTATGATTATATACAACTACATACAGGCTGCAGCATATGCGATTATAATAAACAGCTCCCACGAACAACGATTCTACAACGTAACTTTCCCCGCAACACTCGGATCTTCAACAGACAGTTCTGCATGTATAATATCCATGTGATGGACAGATTCTCCCCGCAACACTCAAACCACTACGAACGGCTCTGCATGCGGCACTTTAGATCTCTGATAAACTTTACACCATTAATTTGCAAGAAACTGCGTTCTTTGAGACTCGAATCCCTACTTATATACTTATTTTCTAGTTTTTATATACTTTTCTTTCTTTCTATTAAGTATAAACATAACGAACAATGCTATCTCAATTACTTTCTTTTTTTCCTTTAAACATACTTTATATCTTAACTGCAACAAGATGTCTCTCTTTGATTTTATTTGAATTCTTCTTCCTTTTTATATTTTAGGTCAAAAGTCTTGGTCAAATGTCATCGAAAGTTTTCAATTTTCTTTAGATTTTTAACGCAATCAAAATGGAGAAATACATTTTAGGTGGCACACGTTGGGGTAACTTACCAAAATTAACTTCTCACCAAAAATAATTTATTAAATATAAGCAATAATATTTTATATATCTCTATGTTATTTTTGAAATACATTGGTGCGTTAAATTACAATCCGACAAATTTGGTATCCGACTCAGATATTCCATATTTAACTTGAATCAGATCAAAACATATTCAAAATTATGAACTGGGTGTTCCTTATTTAATAATATAGATATTTAAAGATTTGATTTAAAATTATGATTCACTTATAATCTTTGTTTGATTTGTTTTTAACTATTTTGTATCATCATACAATAAATAAATTAAGAAAAATCTTACGTATGTTGTGATTCAAAATTTTAAAAACGGATATATATAACCTAATTAATAAACAATGTGTGTACTCAACGTCCCACATCGGCTAAAATAGTTAGAAAATGATTATAAATCATATTTTAAATAAGATCAAAATTAATTGAAATCTGAATGAGCAAGAAGCTTAACCTAACAAGCATCCAAATTTAAAAGTTTGTATACTGTTAATTCAACTTTTTAGTTAAACTGTTTAATTTTACTTGAAATATTAAATTTAAACTTCTAAAAACTTTTAAACATTATAACTGATATATTTAAAATCCATAAAATGTTTATATATTATAAACATTTGAACGTATACAAAACTAAAATAACACGGGACGGGTTATATTGCGGGACGAGGTTATATGGCGGGACGGATTTGAATCAATATTAATAAAAATTTAAAATATCATTAACCCGCTGTAATACATGTTAAATCTTCATTTTATCATTTTTAACACTACCAATATTAGACATATCTAATTAGTCTGTTTTAGATAAGATTGTATAAAACAAAAATTGGGTCTAGTATACCATTACTTAATAACAATCGTAAACTATAAAATATAAATGTCTTATAAAATTATATAATTTACAAATTTTTATATATAATACATAATCATTAAATTTTAAAAATCACTACTTTTAAAAAATAAATGGTTTCGCGGTGTGCAGGTTAAAATCTAATATCTATTATGAGTAAACGGTAAACCTATGTTGACAGTGGTTTTCTTATTACCAACCTAAAACTTTGGCAGAGTAAAGTTATATTAAAAAAATTGTTGAAGATTTGGTAGTAAAAAGGATATGATACCGTAACTATTCATATCAATATTGTGTAAACAGAGCAATTGACTGAATGCCACTGTTGTTGTTGTTGTTGTTGTTGTTGTTGTTGTTGTTGTTGTTGTTGTTTTGCAGAGACGAGTTAAATCAATTAGTTACCAAGGCTCATGGTCCCATGATAAAATTGTGGTTCATGGGAGTTCTCAATTTGTCATGATTCATTAATGTGTCCATTACTTATGGTCCCATCCCATCCCATCCCATCTTTAAAATAGTAACAGATACATAGTTTTGGTAGGTAAAATTAGTGGTTCATGTTTCATTTTACGTTCTTACACGTTTTGAACGTTAGAAAACTCAGATAATATGGATTCTTATATAATTAGGTTGTGTTTCAAAAAAAAAAAAATACGATTAGGTTTGGATCCACTTTATCCGTAAATAAACTTTTTACCAAAGAGAT